CTGTTGGTCATGGTCACATTGTTCTCAAGTGGATTGTGTTTGGGTTGTGCCGGGTATTAGTTCTATAATATTGTTTTTCCCCCATGGGATGATTGAATTTACTCTGTTGTAATAATATCTTATTTCCCTTTGGAAACACTTGCATGAGAATATACAAACACTCAGGTTATGAATCCCGGCTCAGTCTGGACTCTGGTGTCCAAATCCAGTCAGGAACAGTTTTATGTATATAACAACACTAACATAAAGATTGTCTAATGGGACCATTTTTATGTTTGAAATGTGTAAAACTGCATAAAAAAATACACGTTAATTAAAGCGATGATGCTAAAAAAAATTAAAACTAAGGTAAACAATTTAAACTCGTTAGTTGTAAGTAAGGTGTGACATTTTTTTCATATAATTTGTGCATAAAAAAAACAACATCTTTACTATACATTGTCTGATTTGAGCATTTTTAGTCAGAATAGAGGTTAGACGTAACTACATATTTCCAAAAAGTAAAAATATATATGTTCATTAAAGCACTAATGCTAATAAATAAACACTTAGGAAAAAAAATTAACAAATGAGAATAAATACTGAAATTGACATCACTAATCTGCTGGTTGGTTGTTAAATGACTAAGTTGACTAGTCATCCATTGTGACTCATGCCTAATATGGGTGTGTTGAGCTCGTTACTGTTCACTAACGAGACAGGTATAGCATTTGCATTGCTTCTCTCATCTTGTTAATTACAGAGGCTCCATTGTCTGATCTGACCCATTTACAGCATTCTCTCTTTCATTCTTTCAGTTTGTCTCATCCTCCCATCACGGCTAATCTCATTTGGCATCTGGCTCAGTCCCACCCTGCCATGAACATGAGAGGGTCTGCTCTCACACTGAAGAGAGCCAAGAGCGACAACAACACCCCGTGTCCTTTTCCATTCACGCTAACTTCTGTTTCCTAAAAGCTCTCTTTCATTTTATTTCTGTTTATCGGCATCAGTTGTTAAATGTACAGCTGACAAGTGGAAGGTGATTTAAAGCAGCACTTCTTGTACTTCTGTGATATTCATTTGAGAATAATGTTTGTTCAATTAATATTCATGAGTTGTGGATCTGCATGTGTCAGTGATGCGAGCCAGAGAGGCAGGTAATGGGATTTAAAGCAGGGTGAATGCTGATGGTGTGAACGAATAACTTAAAGCCTGGAGCAGTGCTAGTGTATACATACACACACACACACACACACATTTTTTTTCTTCCCCTTTGCTGTTTGTATTATGTAGACCCACATTAGTGATGAAATGAGGCATGAACTTTTTTCCATCTTCTCAGAATCCACTTTGTGTTCTCTCTCTGTCTCTCATTTGATAGATCTCTCTCTCCCAACCTTTCTTCTTTTTTAACTTATATTTTGCAAATTCATTGGTAAAGTCAATATGAATTGCTGTTTGCAATCTTTTTTCCATAGTGTAACTATTTAGAAGTGAAACTGGAGATTTAATGGTAAAGAAGTGTATGGTGGAATCAATTGGATCATGATAAAACATTATATATCAGAATAGAAATAGTCCGAATGCGAGTTAAAACAATGCATAAATTGATATTTGATTATAAAAGTATTGGTATCTGGTTCCATGAAGAACCTCTATCATCCATGGAACCTTTCCATTGCATAAAAAGTTCTTTATTGTGGAAAAAGTTTTTTAGATTATTCAAATATTCTTCACCCTAAAAAAAGTGGATGTTCTATGGCATCGCTGTGAAAACCGCCTTTTTAAGAGTGCTGATTAACATTTATCCAATAGCCTGAGTGGCCTAAGTGATGTCAGCATAAGAGGAAACTTTATTACATTTTGATTTAATGATAATGGATGAACAATTTTTTTCATTGGAATAACATGATTCACTAATGAATCATTCACAATAATACACATTCATTTAGAAAATTTCTACTTTTTCAAAAACTTTTATTTCATGTTGACTCCAAACAGTGCTGCAGTTATATTGATTTGTTTATTAATTCTCCATTTTTGGAGGGTGGGATGAGGGTAATTATTTTCTTTAATGAGAAGTTTAGTCAAAGACCTCTCTTTCTGTCTCTCTCCCCATTGGTTGCTCCAAAAACTTTGGTTTCTTTTCTCATACTACTCTCAACCAGCTCACACCAGTTCACCACATGGTTTGGACTAAACTGCACCGCTGACCAACAGCAGACTTTTCCTAATATGATCAGAATGCTTATAAAAAGACGCACTACATGGAAAAAAATTTCATTTTTTCAGTGTTTCTATTTCCAGACTCAGAGGCATTATACTGCTGACGTTATGGTGCTGTATTGTGTGAGGCAGTGTGTTGTTCCTCTTTAGTGTATATGCACCAGGTGAGCACTCCAAAAGGCCTCCTCAGCCCAAAACACCTGCCCTTCAAGTCCTGCAGCTGCCGCAAGGCCTGTGTGTGTGTTTGCGTTGTGCACGGTTACACGTGTATATGTGCTGGTTAGACTTTTAACATTTCAGCTAATTCTTTTTCTTTCCCCCACCGATCTTTCTCTTGCTCACTCTCTCTCCAGGGCATAGACTAATTAATGGATACCATTCGCAGTTGATTAGCTACAGTTCCTTCGGTAATTACATTCGCATACTAACCACTCAGACAAAAAGATGAGGGGGGGAGAGAGAACAAAGCAAGGGAAAAATAAATTAATGCTCTTCTCATTTTGCTCTGATCTTAATTTGTTCCTGCAATTGTTTGCCCTCCACAATAAGATAAGAAAGCCCTTTTCCCCTCTTATTTTTCGACTCTTCTGGTTGTGTAACATCTGAAGGAATCACTTTGTTTTAAACAGACAAAGGCTTGCTGTTGGATGCGCCATTGAATCAGGGCCTTGAGGCTGTTGTGAAGACTTTTTCTGGCTGTTCTGGCTGATGTTTGTGTGTGCGTGCGCATGGGTCCTCACGTGTGTGTGCGTGTGCATGATTTGTCTGGTTATAGAGGGCCCTCTGTGCTGGCCCTCCAGCTGCTAACCCATAATTCCTCATTTTGCTCTTCCATTGTTCCTACCTGTCAGTGTGTTTGTGTCTCAGAAGAAAAGATAGGATGCCTGCCATTTCAACAATTTGCCATCATGTTTGATTTAGAGGGGTACAGATAGAATAAAGGATCAGAATAAAGAAAAGAGCTCCATTTACTACATGGATATACTGTAGAATAAACACCACCACCATCCCATCATATTTTCACATGTAAAATAAAGAAAATGACCTGAATATGTATGTAGCGTCAGTTTTAACGTCTTTTTAAAAAAAATAATCAGACCTTTGTGTGTGGGGGTTGTTTTGCAGTGCTATACAAGCTGCTTTGTGTTCACCTGCTGTAATAAACTGTGATCTTTCATCAGCCTGTGTGGGCATTTCAAATTATTAAGACGACTGTGTGACTCCCCCGCTTTTCAAATGCAATGTTGCCACACCTAAAGCTGCCCCATGTATTACAGTACGATGCGAGGTGCATTAGCAACTGGGTTACTTCCTGTGTCTGTCATTATTATTACCCAGTTACATGAGGGGTGAACTAATCAATGAACCGTTTTGGTACTGCTTTGCAAGATAGAATAAATATTTCAGATAACATTAATGTACAGGCCTGTCAGTATTTTCTATGGCTGTTTGAATCCAGAATATTTGGAATCGATTCTGAAATTCGAATTCAAGTAATTATTATCATCCTTTAAAATCTGGATTTTAAATGACTGTTCTGTGGCTGTTTTTATGGGATTAAAAAAAAAAGTATTATTATTTCAACCAAACGTATTCGATTTAAAGTATCTAATGCAATAAGTTTTCACGTTGTTTCTCACTAAATGTTGACAACTTGAAAAATAATTAAATTTGATTATTTTCATTTATACAGCAATATTAATCAACAGCAGTATTTACCTACTTATACATGTTTAATAAAATATTTTTTTTACATGAAAATACAACACAAATACTTGTAAAACACTTGTAAGACACAAATTGTAAAAAAATATATATAAATAAAGTTATGAATTGATCCATTAAAAGAAAACTGAAGTCAGTGACTACGTTTACATGCAGCCAAATTTCGGGTTATGGTCGGGTTAAGGTCACTATTCGGGTTTCTGAAACATTAGGGATAACCCGTTTACATGCGTGAGCAGAGAGAGTTACTCCTGTATACATGGAATTGCAATATCCCGATGTAAACGCGACACGCGGTTAGCGTCTGGACGTACGGACAACCACTAAGACGCAATATGCGTCATTTCCGATTCTTCTTCCTGTATCCAAAGACAACAACAACAGCAGCACGCGGATAATGAATAGTTCGGGGCAGATAGCGATCGCCTTTGTTTGCGCTTTGGTGCTGGTAACATTACTGACCTCGCTCCAAAAGTATGCTGTGCTGCGTCTCGCCATGTTTACTTCCGGTATACTGCACGCGGGTTTTTGTATGCGCCGAGAAGTTTCTCTACTCAAAAGACCAAGATTCCTTGCGAATAGAACATGCGCAGAACACACATCATTATGGGGATATGCCGATGCGCGTTTACATGACCAAAAATTCGGGTTAGAAAAGGGGTACCCCAGGTATAATATCCCGGTTTTTAAAATCCGGGATATGAGCATATTCGGGTTTTTGCCGGTGTTTACATGGCCGTTCGCGACCGGGTTATTGCTAATATCCCGGTTTTGAACGGGTTATTGGCTGCATGTAAACGTAGTCAGTGTTTTTGAATGATTCTGTTGAATGAATGATTAAAAGATGTATCAGACTACCCCGAATAGTCGACTCCCCAAACCCAACTCCTCAGAATCAAAGAATTGGTTCATTTTGGATTCAACTCCCATCCCCACTATTTTGTGCATAAAACAAAATGCATTGCTATATTGTGACTACATATGCATTACACTACATAGAATACAACTACAGTGAATTAGAAAGAGGTGCAACTGAAATGACTAATCTATTCTCGTTTCTTTTGCAGTTTGGGAATAACAACAACTACATGAACATGGCTGATGCCAATGGAGCCCTGCTAGCAGGAGATGTGAGTACATTGTTGCAGATAACCTTTACATTTCTATGGATGGTAAACCATTGTTAGTTCATGCCATGAGCAGTATTATTCTGGAATCACTAAACAGTCATTTCCATGTCTAACCATTTATTGTTTCAAAACAAAGTCAATTCATTTAGCACGCTTGCCTCTCTCTACGTTCAAATGAAGTGATTAATTTCAGCGGCAGGTGTACAGCTGCTGCATTTACATAAAACATGATTAGCTCCCTACATACCTTCCTTAACTGCTTTGGGATTTTCCACACCCCAAACCCTTAAAGCTTAGAGCTTGTTACACCAGCAGCTACGTGTTAACACACATATGTTATAATCTGACTGAATGATTCCTCCAGTGGAGCCGATATGTTTACCAGCGTTAACAGTGCAAACGGCTCAGTACTGACCAGAGGTTGAGGAGCACAGGGGGCACTGAGCGTTGAGATGGGATTAGGGTCACTTTTGCAGGGGGATATACCACAGGTTTTCACATCCTGCTGGTATGCTCCAGGTGACGGCTAAAGGAGCATGCATGTAAACACCTGTCCCCATGATCATTTAAAGATACCATCAAGCTAGAAAAGGAAAGAAAAGTGGCACCTATCACAAAAGCCACTCTTTCTCCATCAATTTGTATCCTCTGTCAGTGAGTCTGACAATATACTGCAAATCACAGGTTGTGTATCTCAGGATGGCCCTACTATCTGTGTGTGATTGTATACAGGTGTTTTACAGTATGTGTTGTCACTCACTGTTACACTCACTGTTCCCACTGCCTGATTTCCATCACATTTCCAATGCAAATCTCCTTCTCACAATCTCAACGGCATCAATAGACTCATGCTGGCTAAGCAAAGATAATGTCTGTGAACACATTTGTTGGTAACGATGGGTTTGCGTGGGCCTCTCGCTTCATCAAATGTGGGTACAACTGCCTGTGACCACCACCTGAACTTAAAATGAAAATGGAGTCGGTTGCAATCTCCATAAATTCTTCTGATAAAAGTGTTCCTTTGCTGAGGCCAAGCTCCAAGTTGGCACCTGCAGTGGAAGTAGGGCTGTCGAGTGTTGACGGAAAATTTCCCCTATTTGAATTTTTTCCTAAGAAATAATGTTTCCTCCTTCGCACTGCAGCTGGTATTATGACACAATGAAATTAAAAGCATTAACATTTAAATTCCTATTTCCCATACCTGAAATATGTGTAGGGGGGGTTGGAAGGGGGATATTGTTTCTTGTAACTCAAGCTGAAGAGAAATTAAAGGGACTTTACCCTAGTGAGTGCTGTAATTTCACAGTGTGATGGGTTTTCCATGAGCTTTAGCTCTTTCATTAATCTGCTTAATATGTCATCTTTAGGCGAGAGAGAGAGAGACCAGGAGAGAGGGGCTAAAAATCTCTGAGCCTGACACTCTAACTTTGTATACAGACCTGAATATACTGTATATAACATTAGTATTAATGTAAATCAGGTCTTTATATACACATCATCCTGTTATATTTTTAAATAGACCGTTGATGATAGGATAAATACTATAAATTTAACAGAATATTCTTTGAGTAAATAATGGCAGCTATGTTGTTGCCAGAAATAACCAAGAATTTGGTATTCTACATAATATTTATGTCCTATTGAGAGTGAGGAGTCACGTGCCGATTTGGTTTGATTTGGGCGGGGTCTGAGCCGGTCGGCCATGATGGTAGGAGACGCTATCGGTTGCCTGGGGCAACGCCTTCAGAACTTCACAGAGGTGCGACTAAACATTCCAGAGATAGCGAAAGAGAGACAGCGCAGCTTAGTATTCGTTTACATTTTAACGATACGCCGCAGTTTCTTTGGAAGATATGGAGAAGGAAGAGAAATGAAAGGGGTTCTAGCGGGAGAGACTAAATAACAATGCTAGCCAGCTTTATTTAGAGAAACTGCTTGTCAATAAACTGACAGCAGCAACAGCGAGCAAAGCATGATTTCAAAAGCAACACATTTCAGCACAGTTCGCCTTTTATTTAACACAAACGAACGAAATTAATACTCTGTTATTCAACTAGAGTTGTTTCATTTGTTATAGATATATCTGTACCACGAAATGTTTTAAAAAGACACTTTTTTAATGACGTACGACTCGCATTGACAGGGGAATGTCCGATCTGTCCGCTTAACGTTGCACGGCAGGTGCAAATGCACGTATCTGATGCATATCAGATTTATTTCCACATAAGAATGAGGCCTGAAACATTCAAGTATGACTGAACTCTCGCAGTTTAACGTTACAGGTTTGGGGGTTTCTAAGTCTTGCACCCAGCCGCAGCAGAATTGTTCATAAGCTTCTAATGACTTAAAGCTTCTGAACTCTTGCATTGTAATGTGTAGGCTAGGCAGTAACGTTAGGCACTGATACCATAAACCAGGTAATTGACTATGTCAGGGTATGTGAAAGGTGGTAGTGCGTTGGGTCTTTCGTCCATTCTGTAGCAGGTCGTACTGGTCCATGTTGTTGATGTCAAGTAGTTTCTCTAAATAACGCTGCTTGGTGTTGTTATTTAGTCTCTCCCGATAGAGCCCCTTTCCTTTTGCTTCCCCCTTCTTCATTTATTCCCAAGAAACTGTGCCGTATCGCAAAAATGCAAACAAATATGCTCTCTCTCTGTCGCTATTTCTCTCGGTCTCACGGTCGAAGTAACCATGACAACGGATAGCGTATCCTTCCAAGATGGCGACGCCTTCCCACAATGCAAACGCGTGACGTCACATTCTCATTCTCAATAGCTAGCTTTTTGTCACCACGATTGTGCTTTAAAAGACAAAATCATCCGTCTTGTCATTTCTTATCGTGTCTGTCTACCCCGTGCAAGGCTGTCTACACTGGACAAAGCAAATGTGCAATAGTGTGTCCTCCGTGTAGTTGCGTGTAGCCGCTTCTTCAGAAGAAGAACGGGCATCTGTTTACTATCAATGAATCATCGTGTCGCGCTGCGCCGCGTCCAGTGTATACATTATCACGAATTATGCATGTAGCCAGCACTAGTCAATTAGGAAGATTATAGACACGTCATTAGGGCTGCAACAACTAATCGATAAAATCGATAATAATCGATAATGAAAATCGTTGTCAACGAATGTCATTATCGATTAGTTGGTCTGCTTACGTCACGGGGAGCGTTTACTGGTGATTGGTTGAAACAGGCCAATCAGGATGCTCTCTGTCTTACACGCGCTTCATGAGGCACACACGCAAGGTCTCTCTCCCTCCGTTGCTCTGCCGCGCGCTCGCGCTACACGGTTTGGAGCACAGTCTCTTCTGTCTCGCATGCGCGCTCTTGCTTGCGCGCTCAAATGTTTGAACTAATTTGCGAGCCGCTATCAATATGCGGGTGACTTCCAGAACTTCCGGGAGACTTGGGATGTCTGTATTTTGCGTCTCGAGCATCAGGTTGTGCAATCAGTTCGCTCGCAACATAAGTGATGGATTAAAATAGTGCTACCGCAGAAATATTAAATTAAAACGGTCTTTACAAAGCGAAGCACTAAATATAAAGGCAGTTAATAACAGCAGCAGTAAATTATTGTTTTTTAGTCACTGTACTCAGTGGTTTTCAGCGAATGTTTGTGCACTAATGCATCATTTTTCCTGTCTTTTTAATCAAGCCTGTTAGCTTGCTGCGTACCTCCATTACGTTCTCTTTATATAGCATTTGTCTACTATTAAGTTTTAATTGTTTTTCAAACGCGATCTACTGCGGCTCTATGTTTACTTTACAGGCTTGTTTTCAGTCTTTCTATATATATATATTTTTTTTTACAAATTATCCTTATAATTCAATTAATTTTAAATAAAAATTAAATGAATTATATATTTGAGATGTTTTTAGTTTATATCTTCACATCTGAACAACATGTCTGTAAATTTGTTTTAACAAAAATTGTGTTAAAACAATATGTTGGATAAATGTTTTTTTTTTTTTTTACAATAATCATGGTTGTCAACTTGCCATCAGCAATTATCATTAAAAACAATGCAAATATTGATATTTGTAAAACTCAATGTGTGGCTTTTGCACTTTTTAAAGTACACTTTTACACATAAATCTCCTAATTTAGGGTTTTAGGTAACACTTTATTTTACGGTGTCCTTGTTACATATGTTACATGTACTTACTGTAGTAATAACAGTAAATTATGTATAATTACATGCAACTAACCCTTAACCTAATCCTACCCTATTCCTATAGTAAGTACATGTAGTTACTTAATATTACTCTGTACTTAAATATATAATTACACTGTAACAAGGACACCTTAAAATAAAGTGTAACCGGGTTTTATTTAGTCATAATAAACAAAAAATCTAATTGATTTTTTTATCCGATTAATCGAAAAAATAATCGCCCGATTAATCGATTATCAAAATAATCGTTAGTTGCAGCCCTACACGTCATATATCTGCAGGTAAGAAAACAGACGTCATCGGCAAAATGTATTAACATTGCAAACATGTTAGTTTTACATTATTGAAACTGCTATGGCAGCAGGGAAGATAATGGGCTATTTGCTTTTGACACGCTGTGTCGCGCCGCTTGAGTCCGCTTGATGATCATGATTTGTGTGTAATCCTGAGTTTATCCTGATGGAAATATAAAGAAGCCTTAAACTCCAACAATCTTTTGGAAACAGGGTGTTTTAACCACACAAACAGCTCAATTTGAATGAAGAGCCCATTTCAAGGGTGCAAATATCTTAAAAATGAATCAGATTCAGTTCCCGCCCCGAGTGTAAATCCTAACGTGATTGGTTGTAGTGAGAATGTGCTACGATTGGTCAGCTCAATGTGGCCGTTATCTGATTGGCTTGAGGAAACGGTGGGTGGAGTCCACTTATTTGTGGATTTGTCTGCATGTCGACGCTAGAAGTGTTTCAAAATCCACAAATGCGTGCAGTGATTTACAAATGCACAGAAAGCGGTTCACAAATAAATGCCAGGCAGAGTTGTGTTT